CGCGAGCTCGGACCCCGGCCGGGCTCGGGGCACCGCCACGGCCCCAGATCGCTGTCCTTGTGCCTGGGGGGCCCAGCGCGTCCCTGGCTGTAGAGTCTCCTCTTTGGGTTCAGGATAAACACACCTTATGATTCTTTTTATTTCGGTCCTGAGCACAGAGTGGCAGAACCTCCGGGAACCCCCATGGCCCGTTGTTCAGTGGAGTGTTGCACAAACACGTAGGGAGCATTTCTGGAGCAAGAACATCCTCCTTTTCAACATTCTGTTTTAAATCCCCCCCTTTCCCCAGTTTCTACACGTCTTATTTTTTATGGAGCTTGACTCCCAATAAAATGCACAGATGCGAGGAGCTGCTTGTTCCTGTGGATGAGCTCTGACAATTGCGGACACCCACGTGACCAGCCCCGGGCCAGCTCCAGAGCGTTTCCTGCCGCAGGACATCCTCTTCCTCCCTCGCAGGACCCTGCAGGAATGGGGTCAGAACCTAAGGAATTCAGGGCGAAATATTTCTCTTTCCCACCAATTTCCTGTGGGCCACGCCACCCAACCATTAGTCATCACTTGATCACTGTAGTCCAGCGGTTCTCAGCCTTGGCTGCACATTAGAATCACCTGGGAATCTTTTTAAAATCCTGATTTCTGGGCCTCATCCTCCGGAAATTCTGTTTCTTTGTTATGGGGTGGGGCCACAACATTAGTAACAAAGAAACAGAATTTCCGGAGGATGGGGCCCAGAAATCAGGATTTTAAAAAGATTCCCAGGTGATTCTAATGTGCAGCCAAGGTTGAGAACCACTGCGTAGTCTAACTTGTACAGTGATTACTGTTAACCGGGTCCAGATGATTCATGTAGATAACGTAGGCGTTTTAAAAACTCAAACCAAGATAATACAGATATTTTTTAAAAAAATTTAATGTATAATTTTAGATTTTTTATAGCCTTTTCTACTTTTATTGGCAGAATTATAATATTATTTCAGTCCAGGTATTCTCCAAGTCAGTCTATATACCAAATATGTGTTCTTGTGTCTGCAAAAATATAAATCTCAAAATAAAACAACAACATTCCCTAAAGAAACAACCAAATCCAGCAAAACTATATACAAGTGTTTAGGTCTGAGATTCAGTTTTTCAACTCTGCCTAATGATTTCTAAGCTCTTCTGGTAACTGGTTTTGGATATGGCCCTGGAGTAATAGGGAATAGAATAACAGGGATTTATGGAATTTTAAAACAATTTTTAAAGATTTCAGTTAATACTTAAAGTCACTAACCTAGGATAATTCATAGATGAAAAGGTTTTTTGCTTTATGTGGTCATCATCAACAATGACTAAACTTTGGAGAATTTCAGTTTTGATATTCTCTCTCTTGAATTTTCCATTCTGGAATATTGAAAACATGTATTCTGTGAGATTTGCTGAATAGTTTGAGTGATTTTAGTTGACTATTTAAATTATGTATTTTTAGTTAAAAACAAATAAACCTACCTGCTATTAAAAAGACAAGTGTGAATTGTGGGAAGGTGTTAATAAAATGGAATTCTCTCAGTGCTAGAGGGACCTTGGGGTTAGCCAGGCTTTCTGGTTGAACTGTAATGGAAAGAGATTTTTTGTTTCCTTAAAAATGTGACTGGCTCCACCGAGATGTGGCTGTAAGTTAATGACATTTCATTTCAGGAGTCTAAAATGTCACTTCCAATATTATGGTTGGGACAGAGTACACTGTTAGGAATCATATCTTATTATGTGACAGACTCACTTTATGAGATTGGCAGGCAAATTTTGTTGCCTTAGCGTGGTTATTGTGATAATCTAATTTAAAAAGCTTGGTTATGAAACATTTCAAGCATATTCATTTGGTTAAACAGGTGAATAGTACGTAATCCCCATGTCCTGTCACTCAGCTTTAGCAACTAAAATCTGAACAGAATCATAGAGCATTGGGAAGAGGATCTAAAATCGATGGGCTTTAATGTGTTAATTCGGGGTGATGAACCTCAAAGAAGAGGTTCATGGGTGATGCCACTTGTACATGGAGAAACTGACCAAACATCTCAGATCTTTTCTAGCCTGGTTACCTTTTGTCTAAAATTCTCACGTTTTAAAATTTGGAAATCCCTTTGTCTATAATAAAAGACCCCTTTGAGTCTCCTAATTCTTCTATTTGTTCCAGGAGGAGGGGCAAACTGGACTAAAATAAGAGAGCAAACTGTCATATATAGGCTTTGGGACATTTGTTTCTTATGGAGACAATACTACATTGTAAAAATGTTGAAGCTTCAGAAAAGTGATTTGAATCACTTCAACTAATGATTCTACTTTTAAAAATCTACTCTAGGAGATAATCCTAATTATAGAAAATACTTTAGAGGGATAAGAAGGCAGTGTACAGAGGATTTTTAGGGCAGTGAAATGACTCATTGAGATACTATAATGGTGGATACATGTCATTATATATGTCTTTGTCCAAATCCAAAGCACCAGGAGTGAACCCCAATGTCAACTATGGACATTGGATGATTATGGTGTTTCATTGTAGGCTTATCAGTTATAACAAATGTATCCCTGTGGTGGTGAGTCAGTCCATTGCATGGAATGCAACTGTTCTACTGGATGGGATGCAACTGTTAAAAGATGTTTAGGAAAAGCTTATAACATGGAAAAATCCTAATGCAATGTTAAGAAAAAAGATGAGACACAATTTATATACAATATTTACAATAATATTTTTCTTCCTGTCTCTTATATTTTCCAATTTTTCTATGATGCATCTTTACTTTAATGGTGGTTATAGCTCAATCGTCATTATTTTTTATTTTATTTTATTTTTTAAAAATATTTTTATTGATTTTGGAGAGGAAGGGAGAGGGAGAGAGAGAGAGAAACATCAATGATGAAAGAGAATCATTGATCGGCTGCCTCCTGCACACCCCACACTGGGGATCGAACCCGCAACCTGGGCATGTGCCCTGACCGGGAATCAAACCGTGACCTCCTGGTTCATAGGTTGACGCTCAACCACTGAGCTATGCCGGCCGGGCATTAGTCATTATTTTTATTTATTTTTATTTTTTAAAAAAAATATATTTTATTGATTTTTTAAAGAGAGGAAGGGAGAGGGATAGAGAGTTAGAAACATTGATGAGAGAGAAACATCAATCAGCTGCCTCCTGCACACTCCTCACTGGGGATGTGCCCGCAACCAAGGTACATGCCCTTGATCGGGATCGAACCTGGTACCCTTCAGTCCGCAGGCTGACGCTGTATCCACTGAGCCAAACCGGTTAGGGCTAGTCATTATTTTTAAACTTTTAAAACATACTTTGGGGGAAATTTAGAAAATATATTGACATTATAAGAAAGTAATATATTTTTTATGACTGAAGATAGTTCGTTGTATATATGCACCACTTCTTTATCCATTCACCTATTTTTTGAAAATATTTTTTTATTGATTTCAAAGAGGAAGGGAGAGGGAGAGAGAGATTGAAACATCAATGATGAGAGAGAATCATTGATCGGCTGCCTTCTGCATGCCCCCTACTGTGGATTGAGCCCGCAACCCAAGCTTGTGCCCTGACCAAGAATTGAACCTGGGAACCTTCAGTCCTCAGGCTGATGCTCTATCCACTGAGCCAAACCGGCTAGGGCTTTATTCACCTATTGATGGATAGTTAGGTTGCTTCATATCTTGGCTATTATAAATAATGCTTCATTGAACATATGGATGCCTATGTTTTTTTGTTTTAGTGTTTTGGGTTTCTTCAGATAAATATCCAGAAATGGAATTGCTGGCCCTTCATTGTCTCTTGTTATATAGTCTTTGTCTTACAGTCTATTTTGTCTGGTGTAAGTATTGCTAACCCAGCTTTATTTTTTTCACTTTCGTTTTTATGAACTATCTTTTTCCAGCCCTTTACTTTCAGTCTGTGTGTGTCTTTCAATCTGAAGTAAGTTTCTTGTAGGCAGCATATCTAAGGGTCTTAGTTTCTTATCCATCTAGCCACCCTGCATCTTTTGATTGGAACATTTTTTTTATTGATTAAGGTATTACATATGTGTCCTTATCCCACTCCCGTTCATGCCCTCACCCCCCTGGTGTCTATGTCCATTGGTGATTGGAACATTTTTTTTAAAAATATATTTTTATTGACTTCAGAGAGGAAGGTAGAGGAAGAGAGAGATAGAAACATCAATGATGAGAGGGAATCATTGACTGGCTGCCTCCTGCACGCCCCTCACTAGGGACTGAGCCCACAACCCAGGCATGTGCCCTTGACCAGAATCGAACCCGGGACCCTTGAGTCCACAGGCTGACGCTTTAAACACTGAGCCAAACCAGCCAGGGCGGTGATTGGAACATTTAATCCATTTACATTTAAAGTAATTATTGATACATATATATTTATTGTCATTTTATTATTCATAAAAAGAATGAAATCTAGCCATCTGCAACATCATGGATGGACCTAGGGTACTGTGCTGAGTAAAATAAGTCAGACAGAGAAAAACAATGCCATATGATTTCACTTACATGTGGAATCTAAAAAACAAAACAAACAAGCAGACCAGAAACAGACTCATAGATATAAAGAACATTTTGATGGTTGCCAGAGGGATGGGGGTTGGAGGAATGGATGAAAAAGGTGAAGGGATTAAGAAGTACAAAATTGTAGTTACAGAATAATCATGGGGATGTAAAGTACAGTATAAGGAGTACAGTCAATAATATTGTAATAACTATGTATGATATCAGATGGGTACTAGACTTATCAGGGCGATCACTTTGTAAGTTATATAAATGTCTAATTACAAGGTTATACACCTGAAACTAATGTAATATTGTATGTCAACTGTAGTTGAAAAATAAAAAATTATTGAAATAGAAAAAAAGAAAATACTATTTATTTATTTTTTAAAATATATTTTTATTGATTTCAGAGAGGAAAGGAGAGGGAGAGAGAGATAGAAAGATCAATGATGAGAGAGAATCATTGATCAGCTGCCTCCTGCATATCCCCTACTGGGGATTGAACCTGAAACCAGGCATATGCCCTGTCAAGGAATCGAACTGTATGACCTCCTGGTTCATAGGTCGATGCTTAACCACTGAGCCACACTGGCCTGGCCTTGTCAGGTATATTTATAGATACTATTATCCAACAGAAGCAAACAAGAAAATGGCAGAGTTGCCTCTCTTCTAATTGGAACATTAGGTCAGTACATGATAAAAGTAAAAAAACAGCCCTGACCCATTGGGCTCAGTGGATAGAGCGTCGGCCTGTGGACTGAAAGGTCCCAGGTTCGATTCTGGCCAAGTGCATGTACCTTGGTTGCGGGCACATCCACAGTAGGTGTGCAAGAGGCAGCTGATCGATGTTTCTCTCTCATCGATGTTTCTAACTCTCTATCCCTCTCTCTTCCTCTCTGTGAAAAATCAATAAAATATATTTAAAATAATAGTTTGCTGACTTGAAACTTAACTTTTAAAGCATGGTTTTTGTGTATAATCTACACATGTATATATGTATATATATGTATGTATCACGTTCAAAGGCTGTTAAATCGCGTTGTTTACCCATATCTTCAGAAAAAAAATCACTTCTACTGTCATGGTAAACAACCTGCTTTCCTATCTATAATGTTCTGGCCCTCTAGCAACTTCAGCACGAAATTATAGCTAATTTGCCTACAAACGTCAGGTGGTCATAATAATCTGGCCACTCAGTGTATTTCTCTTTTCTGGTGTAAGTAGAAAAATTATTTTATGACATGTGTTTTCCATTTTGTGCTATGTATTGTGTTACCAGATTTGCTGATTCCAAGACAAGCAGGCATCTCTTGAGAATTAATATAGCTGAGCTGGGTTCTCTGGGCAGGAAAACTTCTGTTTTTATAGATTGGCAAACTCCATCAAAGAAAGTTTCAGGTGTCTCAGCCAAGGTCACACAGATGAAAATGTGGCCCTAAAATTCTGCTTAGTGGTTGTTCACTTTAGAGCACATTCATTCCAGATAAAAAATCAGAATGGACATAAATTAGGATTGTCTTACTGCATTTACATAACTCCTTTCATTTTTGAATGCCTGCTGACTTTGTCAAAGAAGTTATAAGAAGTACGTGTGATATTTGAACATTCCTGTGGCTGTTTAAAAGTGTTTCATGGCACCTATTTGGTTCGGAGTCTTTTTTATCTTTTGTTTCCTTTCTAGTTGGAGAAGAGCAGATAAGTGCCATTGGACGGGGCATCTGTGTGTTGCTGGGCATTTCTCTGGAAGATACACAGAAGGAACTGGAGCACATGTAAGATGTGAATTTCTCTTTGTTTGCTTTTTGCAAACAAAAGCAAAGTCATTGCTCTTTGTTTGTTTTTTAATCCTCACCCGAGTATATTTTTCCATTGATTTTTAGAGAGAGTGGATGAGAGAGGGAAAGCAGAGAGAAATATCTATGTGAGAGAAATACATCGATTGGTTGCCTCCTGCATGAGCCCTGACCAGGGCCCCGGGCAGGGGAAGGAGCCTGCAACAGAGGTACATGTTCTTTTTTTATTTTTAAAAGGGAGGATGATGATTTATTTATTTTAAAATATATTTTATTGATTTTTTTACAGAGAGGAAGGGAGAGGGATAGAGAGTTAGAAACATTGATGAGAGAGAAACATCGATCAGCTGCCTCCTGCACACTCCCTGCTGGGGATGTGCCCGCAACCAAGGTACATGCCCTTGACTGGAATCGAACCTGGGACCCTTGAGTCCACAGGCTGATGCTCTATCCACTGAGCCAAACTGGTTAGGGCGAGGTACATGTTCTTGACTGGAATCGAACCCAGGACCTTTCCATCCACAGGCCGATGTGTTATCCACTGAGCCAAACTGGCTAGGGCTAAGTCAGTGCTCTTTGAATTGAATATGTGGTAGTTGTATCCTACTAGAGCCCCAGTGCACGAATTCATGCACGGGTGAGGTCCTTCTGCCTGGCCGGCAATCAGGGGCTGATCGCGGCCCTCTCGCCCAGCCCAGATTAGGGCCGATGTGGGCTGGCCAGCCGGGGAGGGACCATGGGAGGGCTCCAGGTTGTGTTTGGCCCTCTTGCCCAGTCCCAATTGGCTGGACCCCAGCAGCAAGCTAACCTACCGGTCGGAACGTCTGCCCCCTGGTGGTCAGTGCACATCATAGTGACTGGTTGAGCGGTCGACTGAACAGTGACTTATCAGTCAGAATTTAGCATATTACGCTTTTATTATATAGGATTGTATATAGGATATATGTGCACGCACATACACATACTAGGAACTTCAATAGTATTTTGTTCTTATAAAGTGAGCCCGTTACTTTTATCAGTTTGACATTCGATGTAGTATGGTTATCTTCGTGTTTCAGATGAGGAGACGAGGAAGAGTAACCTGTCAAATGTCACCCACTAAGTGAGCAGCAGAGCAGGAGTACCACTTAGCTTCTATCCCTATTTGCTGCTACTTCTGTGAACTCTTCTCTTAATTAAAAACTGAACCTCTTTTCTTTTTTTTTAAATTTATTTTTATTGATTTCAGAGAGGAGAGGAGATGGAGAGAAAGATAGAAACATCATTGATGATAGAGAATCATTGTTCAGGTGCCTCCTGCACACCCCCCCAATGGGAATTGAGCCACTACCTAGGCATGTGCCCTTGATTGGAATCAAACCTGGGACCCTTCAGTCCACAGGCCATGGATCTATCCACTGAGCCAGATCAGCTAGAACTGAGCCTCTTTTCTTATGAATGGTTTCTGTTTTATAATTTGAGAAATATGACGTGGCCTTGTTAATGCATTTTTAAAATGCCCAGCTGTTCATTGTGCAATAAAGATCTGGATCTCGGGGAGGTTAAATTACTTGCCCAAAGTCACATACACAGAGTTAGCAAGAAGCCCAAATCCGAATTAGAATCTAGGCTACCTGACCTGGAAGCCAGTGCTCCTTTTACTAAAGTAGGGGGTTCGTCATTGCTGTTGCCCGAATGGCTGTCTTAGTACTCAGCTTTCCCCTCCCCCTGTTTAACCAGCACCACTTGACACATTTACTTCAGATGCTCGGATCTGTTTATTCTGCCCTTTGGTGCCCAGAGCCTGGGTGTAACCCCACCCAATTGTCCCTTTTGTTTAGGTTGCAAAGCCAAGTCCTGCTAAGGTGTTGATGACTAATAGGGATAGTTCATTACCACTTCAGGGGTGTTGGTGTTTTAACAGCTCTCCCCTGGATACTTGAAACAGTAGAGTGGTGTAGTGGTTACAAACTGCGGCTCTGGGTCTGAATCTCTTTATGTCTCTGACATTCTAGAGAGTTAATACTTACCTTGGTGGTTAAGAGATTTAACTCAACAGAAGACAAACCTTGGCTGTGGAGAGGAGTTGGTGAAAAGTGCCCACTACAGAGAGGACCCATATAAAGAGTCAGTGAATTACTATTTGTAGAGCCCTTGAACATGTCTTCAACAACATCCAAAAGGGTGGCTTTCCATTGGTGCAATTTCAACTTTCATGCAGGTTGTTCTTTATCATGCTCTTGAAATCTGATCTTATAAATGTTACCTGGTCCTCTTCCTTGCCAAGGCGGCTGTCCTTTGTCATCCACATGTATAGGACTTAAGGAGCATGTGACATAGTTATTATTTTTCTCCAGATTTTTTTTTTCTTTTCTTTTTCTCCAGATCTTTTTTTATATTTGTGGTAACACTAAGTTCTCTCCCGGGTATTTGCTGAATTGTTCATTTTGAGTAGCTCCAAGAAGGGGTGTACAAATGGGGCACCATTTATTCCAGTGTAAAGATTGAATTCTTCTGTAAGTAATTAGAGTTGGACCCATGCTGTGATAATGGATGGTTGTCATCTTGGCCCCAGTTCCAACTGGACTGGCTGCTGCTGTGAATTAGAGGGACCCACACACACAAAAAAAAGGAAATCCCCAAACTACCCTGCGAGGCAGGACCACTATTACCCTGTATTACAAATGAGGAAACTGAGGCACAGAGAAGAAAAGTAACTTGCTCAAGGTCACACTTTCTGTAAGTGATGGGGTCAGCATAATGTTCTTGTTTGGCAGGATGCTGGTGACATTTGGGGGGTATGAAATGTATTGGGGGGCTTGTGATTCCTTAGGTAGCTCTCACTGCTATTTTTCCCCTTAGGGTCCGAAAGATTTTAAACTTACGTGTGTTTGAGGATGAGAGTGGAAAGAACTGGTCGAAGAGTGTGATGGACAAACAGTATGAGGTGCTGTGTGTCAGCCAGTTCACCCTCCAGTGTGTCCTTAAGGGCAACAAGCCCGACTTCCACCTGGCAATGCCCACGGAGCAGGCAGAGAGCTTCTATAACAGCTTCTTGGAGCAGCTGCGCAAGACGTACCGGCCGGAGCTCATCAAAGGTAGGCAGGAGGGGCCTGGGACACTTTGGAGCAGGGGGACAGAGAATCTGCAACTGCAATCTTTCCTTTGTCACAAAGTTTGTTGTTATGTTTATTACTGACTTAAAACAACATGATGGCTGCTGCCACTGCTTGTTGCTATACATGTCCTCCTAATGCCCGGATACCGTTTACCCTTCTTCATTCTTTTAGTCACATTTGAAAATGCTTAGCAACCCAGAAGTGTGTTTGATGTAGTGGTGTTTTATTTTGGTCACTTACTCTACCTGACAGAAATACAATGCAAGCTACAAATGTGAGCCACATGTCATGTTACATTTTATATTTAAAAAAGTAAAAAGAAACAAGTGAAATTAATTTTAAAACTGTATTTTATTTAGCTTACTATGTCTAAAATATTATGATTTCACCATGTAATTAATATAAAAAGTTAAAATGAGATAGCATGTATATTTTGTGTACTAACGTCCTCTAAATCTGGTGTGCAGTTTATACTTACAGCACATCTCCATTTGGACCAGCCACATTTCAAGTGCCCCAAAGCAGCGAGTGTCCAATGGCTGCAATATTGGACATATAGGTTTAGGTTTTTGCCTACCTGTTTATTGTCAAGAATGCCAACCTCATTTGACTAACCAAGATTTAGTCTAGAAAATGGCTTGGTGGAATAGTGGTTGGTCCTGGTTTGTGGGAGAATTACGAATCTTTTTTATTTTTTTAAAATATATTTTATTGATTTTTTTACAGAGAGGAAGAGAGAGGGATAGAGAGTTAGAAACATCGATGAGAGAGAAACATCGATCAGCTGCCTCCTGCACACTCCCCACTGGGGATGTGCCTGCAACCAAGGTACATGCCCTTGACTGGAATTGAACCTGGGACCCTTGAGTCCGCAGGCTGACGCTCTATCCACTGAGCCAAACCGGTTAGGGCATGAATCTTTTTTTTAAAAAAAATATTTTTATTGATTCCAGAGAGGAAGAGAGAGGGGGAGAGAGAGATAGAAACATCAATGATGAAGGAGAATCATTGATTGGCTGCCCTCCTGCATGCCCCCTACTGGGGATTGAACCTGCAACCCGGGCAGGTGCCCTTGACCGGAATCAAACCTGGACCCCTTTAGTCTGCAGGCTGACGCTCTATCCACTGAGCCAAACTAACTAGGGCGAATTATGAATCTTTTAAAGAAGGCCATTCATTTCTAGTCTGTTTTCATGGGGTTAAAGTGCATTTAAGATCATCATGTTTTGCCTTTAAAAAAAATTTAAATTCTTTATTGTTTAAAGTATTACATATGTCTCCTTTTTCCCCATTGGTCACTTACTGGCCGTTCCCACCCCCCAGCATATGCCCTCACCCCACTACTGTTTGTGTCCATGGGTTTTGCTTATATGCATGCATACAAGTCCTTTGGTTGATTTCTTACCCCCTCCCCCACCCCAGCCCCTGCCTTCCCTCTGAGGTTGTATGGTCTGTTCAATGCTTCTGTGTCTCTGGATCTATTTTTGTTATGTTATGTTATTTTTGTTATGTTATGTTATGCTATTTTATTTTGTTATGTTATGTTATCAGTTTATGTTATTCATTATATTCCACAAATGAGTGAGATCATGTGATATTTATCTTTCTCTGACTGGCTTATTTCGCTTAGCATAATGCTCTTTAGTTCCACTCATGCTGTTGCAAATGGTAAGAGTTCCCTCTTTTTTACGGCAGCATAGTATTCCATTGTGTAGATGTACCACAGTTTTTTAATCCACTCATCTGCTGATGGGAACTTAGGCTGTTTACAAATCTTAGCTATGGTGAATTGTGCTGCTATGAACATAGGGGTGCATATATCCTTTCTGATCAGTGTTT